ATACTTCAAAAGATTCTAGTTAGTGGAGGACTAACTCATCTGGAAACAGAAAGAATGTGAGTGCAAATTCCGAGAGTGTTTTCATCTATGGAATGGGTTCTTGAATCTCGATTTAGGAGGTATCTGACGAGGAGAATCTATTATGCAGCTTTGATAACTAGTTAATTAAATTAGTGTTTTAGCAAGCTTCATCGGTATTTGAAAATGATATCAGGTCTGTTGTCAATTCTGAAAGTTTAATTGCTACAATAGAAGATAGTATCGCTATTATTACAATAAACAGCTTGATATTATGAATGGCTACAATAAAGTGATCTATGATTCAACAGGTTCTTAAACGCTCTTTGCCATTCCGGTAATTTACCAAGGTGCACATTGAATAAACTTCATTTATTTCATGTTGGATGTATATATTTTTGAAGCACAAAATGGTGTTTCGAGAGCAGTTGTGATCCACCACAAGGTCCCCAGATCTTGGACCCGAACACATCCATGGATAGGAAGCTTAAGGGGCCAATAATAAGTGGCGAAGCTCGAAAACAGTATTGTCCCGAACCCTCAAAGTGGAAATAAAGCATGTCAGAATCAAGTGAAATTAAAATGCAGCAAATGCAATTCGAGTAGAAGGTGGCGATCATCAGCATCAGAATGAACAATGAAACGACGAAAATACAGAACAGAACAGAACAGAACAGAACAGAATAGGTAGAGTGAGCATGAGTAGGAAGATAAAAGATATTATTCATCATACGGATCAAAATGGGTTGGGGTTGGTTAAGCTTAGTTATATCATTGTAATTTGTTTGTGATCCCCTGGGCGGCATCAAACGATTTCATAAAACCAATGTAGATTTTACTCGTGATCATCGTAGCCATCGTTGTCGTCATCGTCATCGTCGGTTTCATTTTTCTTCGTTTCGTCCTTGCTGCGCAGGAATAAAAGGCGAGCGAGAAAAGAAGAAGGCAAGAAGAAAAACGTGTACACATGTACTATGCAAATAAATAAAAGAATAAAGTAAGAAGTCAAGTTAAATATCAAAAACATAAGGTATATCACTTAAGTAAAAGGGATATCTGGATTCCAAAGCATTAACGAGGTTATGTTAAAAGACAAACAAAGGTAATCTCACAAAATATGACAAAATGTTAGACACACGAGGGGTAAAAAGGAAAGGTAAAAATTAAAACAAATGGAAAATTGAGAGCTAAACGAGTGAAAGGTCCAGCCAAAGGGTTTCATGCGGAGCCGTGTTGGGCGTGGTTGTACGTCATTCGTCTCATTCATTCATAGAATTCATGGGTAATGTATCTCATACCAGTCGTAGCAGATGCTATACATTGCTTTCGTAAAATTGTACCTTTTTCGCGCATGGTTGGGTGGAAGGCCGTCAGAACAAAAAAGAAGATTATATCATAAAAACAAAGATCCTTGGAGGTTCTCATGCGTAAAAAGAGGTCCTAATAGATAAACGACATCCAGATAAAAAATGGCATGTCCAATTTTAGTTCGCACGAATAACCAGTCTCGAAACAAATTTATTTGATAAACAGTCGAACATCAGTGGGCGATCGGAATGTTGACTTGCTGCGAGTTCGAAGCATCATTAATTGGTGTAGAATTTAATTGGTTAG